AGAAATTTCTTTGGAACTGAATAAAAAGATGAAGATTACTTTGAGAAAGGAAAAATGTCCAATTCAAATCAATGGTCGATTTGATCAGAGAAAATATATAAAAAATTCAGGAGATAGTTACTTTTTCTTAAGAAATTTCTGAGTAAAAAGTACAAAATAATTTTTGAAAAATTGGTCTGTCCCAGGCAGTATATTTATGGAGGCAGCACTTTTGTGTCTGCTGTAGGCCATTGTTGGGACAGTACTCTGAGTTAAAGAATCTTTTCAATTTTGAGTAAATTAAAATATAAAATTTTTCAGTTTTGCATAACTATAAGAGTATCAATTCTACTTCAAGTCCAACAACAAAGTGGTTTGTCTTCAAACCCCAACAATGCAATATTTAAAAGCAAAACAGACAACACAAAATCAGAGGCAAAAGGAAAATAAAGTTTTGAAACAAATTCTACAAGCTACCAAAATTTGTGGCTGATAGGATTAGAATGAAATTTTAATGGTCCTAGTAAAGCCAAAAGGGGATTAAATAAACTGCTATTGTTAATTCAGGAAATCTTGCCACATCTTGCAGAACAAATGGAAAAATAATATAATGGCATATGTTCTTTGAAATTGATTTAATCTGATAAATTTAAGTGCAAAAACAAATTATATTGTTTATAGTTGAAAAAAAAAAAAAATACCTTTCAAAACAGATTGTTTTTGACAATTTCATTTCACTTATTTTCCATAGATAAACAAATTTGTGGACATGAGATCTGTCATTTAATACAACATATAGTCTTCAACTTTCAAAAATGAACAAAAAAATTGAAATGCAAGGAATTATTTTTCAAAAGTGTGTGAAATGTGTTAACAGATTATTTGATAAGACACTGAAAAGGTATGTTCTAAGAAAAAATATTTACACAAAATGAATCAAAAATTGTTTACCTGTTCACTAAAAATATACATGATTTTAAATATTTTAGTATGGTTATAAAATTTAATAATTTCCTAATAATCATTCAAAATGAACAGAAATCAGAAAATAAATACCGAGAGGTTTGATATGTAGAGGTTATAGATTTCACTTCTGTAACTATATCTGGTAATAGGCTTCCATGGCTTAATTGAGATGTTAAACAGACTCCCAAGAATAAAAAGTTAAAATCTTGTTAAAAAGTTATTTCTTCTTTTCTGATCCATGCCAACTACATAATATTTAAAAATTAAAAAGGGCCCAAGTTTTACAGCAAAGAAATGAGGGGTATAGTCTTTCAATTTACAAAAAACATAATCAGATAGTGTAGCTACATGTCTAAATTTGAATTACATCTGCTAATAGACTTCCATAAGCTAATTGGAATGGTGCTGTTTATGTCAGATGGATTAGTAAGAATACATGTTCAAATCTTCTCAGGTTATTTCAACATTTCTAATCTATGCTGATAATATAATGTTTAAAATTTATAAAGGGCGCAAGATCTGCAATTAAAGAATAAATCAGGATAAAACAACTGGTTTCAACTATTTTACTTATCTTTCTTTTGACAGATTTTCTGAAACTATGTAAGAAGTAAAATCATTTATGAAATTGTCAGAAGTTATACTTCACATTTAATGTCAGTGTCAAACATTTAATAAATAATAGGATTTATTATTAAACTTCTATTAAATAAATTTTGTGAAGATTTCTTACAGTAAAAGGCAACCATGCAAACATTCTTCTAAGAAATAATATTCATTTTATTCATAAATTTAAGAATTTTAATCCATCCTCATTTCAAAAATGTTCTTAACTGATAATTTCAATGCACATATAATATCAGTATATTATTAAAAATAAAATGGTTGAAAATTACTGAAATAGGTGACATGTTCAAAATGTTTTCTACACATAAGTTTTGGTCCTTCAATTAACATAGTGCATAAAAAAAGCAGAGTAAGAAGTTTGCAAATGACTATATTTCATACTTATAAAAATAAGAACATTATCTTTGAATGATAAATCATTTTCTCAAAGACCTTGATGCTTGAAAATATAGATTTTAATTTCATTCATGTTTACAAAGAAATACATTCCAAAGATTTTCCTACATTGACTTTTCCTGTTTGCAGCTATATATTGAATAATTCTCAGGAAAACATTCATACTGACCTGATTCTTTAAAAACCAGAGATGGTTGTATTCCATTCATGTGTAAAGAAATACATTGCAAATTAAATAATCAAACAACGCATCCCAAAATTTTCATACACTGACTTGTCCTGTTTTCATAAATTTTTGACTGACTTGAATAAAATTAACATACATCATATTTTCTCTTGTAATATGTACATGCCTTTTGCTTCCAATGCAAATGCAAATTTTCACAACTCATTTGTTATTTATAATGTTATTTATACTTAGAGAAAATATTGATCCACAGACTTGACATGAATATCACCTGTATGTTAACATTTTTCAACAAGATATTTGTAAAATTATTGATTCACCTGACTAAAGTTTATAACCAATGTCTGCTTATATGTGCCTTTTCAGCAATGAATTCTTTGAAATTTCAGAGCTGCCAATTTTACAAGAATATGGTTTCTCTCCAGTATGTAGTCATATAAGTCTTTCTTCCAATTTGAAGAATATAAAAATGATGCAGCATAGATTTTACAAGAACAGTTTCACTTGTGTCATATGAGACATGAAATTTGAATTCAATTAAAATTCAGAACCAAAACTTCACAAGAATATGATTTCTCTCTAGTGTGCCTACGCATATGTCTCACTAAACTTGATTTCTCTGAAAATGCAAATCCACAAACTTCACAAGAATATGGTTTCTCTCCAGTGTGTGTACGCACATGTTTCACTAAGTTTGACTGGTCAGAAAATGCTGATCCACAATCTTCACAAGAATATGGTTTTTCTCCAGTGTGTGTACGCATATGTTTCACTAAATGTGACTTTTCAGAAAATGCAGATTCACAAACTTCACAAGAATATGGCTTCTCTCCAGTGTGTGTACGCACATGTTTTATTAAGTTTGACTTATCTAAAACTTCATATCCACAAACTTCACAAGAATATGGTTTCTCACCAGTGTGCCTACGCATATGTCGCACTAAACTTGACTTCTCTGAAAATGCAGATCTACAAACTTCACAAGAATATGGCTTCTCTCCAGTGTGTGTACGCATATGGCTCATCAAATGTGCCTTGCTTGAAAATGCAGATCCACAAACTTCACAAGAATGTGGTTTCTCACCAGTATGTGTATGCATATGTCTCACTAAACCTGAATGTCGTGAAAATGCAGATCCACAATCTTCACAAGAATATGGTTTCTCACCAGTATGTGTACGCATATGTCTCACTAAACCTGAATGTCGTGCAAAAGCTGATCCGCAATCTTCACAAGAATATGGTTTCTCACCAGTGTGTGTTCGTATATGCTGTACTAAATATGACTTCTTTGTAAATGCAGATCCACAACATTCACAGGGATATGGTTTCTCACCAGTGTGTGTACGTATATGTTGCACTAAATATGACTTCTTTATAAATGCAGATCCACAACACTCGCATGAATATGGTTTCTCACCAGTGTGGGTTCGTATATGCTCCACCAAATATGACTTCTGTTTAAATGTAGATCCACAAAATTCACAGGAATATGGTTTCTCTCCAGTGACAGTTTCCATTCTTATTTTTAATGTTTACTCAAATGCAACACTTGTTTCTTTTGTAGAAAAGAAAAATCATATATTTAAAAATGCATGAAAGGAAGTTTGCAGCATAAATTTCTCTGTTCTTGGTGAAACATTAAGAGTCTTTTTTTTTATTTCATTTAAATTCACAATAATAATTTTTATCTGTGGCTCTTTATACAGCTGAAATATCTGTCAACAAAAAGTAATAAAGGATAAATTAGCAGAGTCAGTGAATAATATATGAAATCAGTTTAATAATATATACATATAGTTATATACTAAGGCTAACTTATTTTGGCATAGGCATACAATAATACAGCAATCAGTGAAAATCAATTACATTGTAGCTAGCTGACAGTTTGTGAAACAAGATTATTTAACCATGAAACATAGATGGTTCTATCTACGCTAAGATGTATATAATAAGAAATGTAATCATTTTCATATCTATAAATACATTAATAAGTTTTTTAAATTTATTTTTGGGGATCTCAATACAGTTGATATGTTTACTAATTTCATGCTGCATAGTTATTTAGAATAAATGAACAAAATGTCTTTGGTAGCATGAAGTGAAACATTCCACACATCTACACAACTGAACATAAAATGCATGCAAATCATGGGAAACAGGTCTCCATGGATGCCAAGGAAGCAAGCCTAAAAGTTTATTCTTCCAAATGTCTGTTTTGACTGGATTCACTAAAGGAATAGAAACAATATTTCTTAATGTTTCATAAAATGCAATATATTTCAGAGCAGACAACTTATAGAATCCAATGGTATAATTAATTATTGGTTATAAAACATAAAATCAGCTTTCATTTTTCTAAATTTCATATAGGCTGATAATTTTATAATGAATGTGTAACTACTTTTCATTTGATAGTAACATTGGAATGATAGTGTTTGCACTGTAAACCAGAGCAGTTTGGGATACTTATCTTAATGTCTGTTGGCTGGATATCAAGACAAGAAAAAAAAAATGTAAATTTGCATAATGGGTGATAATTCTAAGGAAAGTTTTTGTACTATTACTAAGAAATATTGGGGCAACTTCTGATAAAAAAAAAAAAAACATCTGTACATTCTATAGAATTGAAAGGGTTCTTGCAAATTGATAGTGTAAAAAGTTGTTTACCTGTAAATTGTTGTTTTAATATGCAGTAGTAATTTTTAAGTGAAAAAAATAATATGGCAGATTGGATAAGGCAACCAGTCCATAATTAGAAAACCAGCCTGAAGTGGAATGTGCCAGGCTATTGTGCAGTAGAAACACCCTTCTGCTATGGCTCTAGTACATGATTCAATGATCCTTAGGTTACATGACTCATGATCATGGTCACATCATGTGAAAGAGGAAAGCAGGGGTCAGTGCAAACTTCTGCTTTTCTGCACCAAATATGGTAGACATCTTGGCTAAAAAGAAAAGAGAAAAGTATTAAGTAGAAGAAACATTGTTTTTTATCTGAACCTATCTTAAGAATTTAACTTGTAGAATTTTAGAAGGCCTTTCATTTTATTTATGCATTTTTTATGATGTTGGTAGTAAAAAAAAAACAAAAACATGTTAAACACAAGTGACATGTTGGCTATTTGGCTAGATGTATAAAACAGTCTGCAAAACAACTGATCATGCATCATACAGAGGATCAGTGATTTTGGCTTTTAGGAGCTACCATACAGCTAAATTGTGATTTTTTTCTGTGAAAAGATTTGAACAAAACTAGCAAACCCAACCTAAAAAAAAACAAAAAACAAAGTAGACCCCACGTATACTATCTCCTACACCAATGTGAAGGGGCTACATTCCAAATTTCCAGAAGTGGAACACCATCTGTTACTTTCTGAAATTGGTATCAACGCTTCAAGCGAACTGACAGAGTTCACAGTCCCCAGCTACTCCCCTCTTATAGCTAGACACAACCACCTAAAATGCCACAGCTACAGACTAGGAGCCTACATCAAGGATGATTTTCCCTGTGGCAGAGACACAAAAAACGATGAACCTGATTTCCTATATATGTACACTTATCCATAATACCACATTCGTCTTTGCTCTCTACCACCCCTCAGAATGAAGGGACAATAATCCTTGACCATATATCAGAGAAATTGATAATATCCTCACTCAATCTCCCTCAGCCAGCTTTCATATCTGTAGTGACTTTAATATCCACCATAAAGAATGGTTAGTCCACTCCAACAAAACTGATTTTGAAGGCATCTATTGCAGAGACTTTTCCATAGCCTATGATCATGATCATGAGAACCTATGCGGGATAGCTTTCAATCCTAAATGATGGAAGCTCCACTCCCAAACTTCTTCAAGCATACTGCATCCAAAACTGCTGCTCTCATCACTGATTGGATCCTTTCTGAAATGAAGAGTTTTATACCCCCCACCCCAAAAGAAAAATTCTAGCAAAACTCCAATGATTAATTAAAAATATCAACCTGGAATTATCTCCAATCCTAGCGAAATTATTCAATTGCTCCTTGAAGGAGAAATCCTTCCCAAGCCTGTGAAAAGTGTTAAGCATATGCCCAGTTTTCAAGAATTCAGGTGCATGATCTTCTCCCGCCTATTACAGACCCATCAGTCTCCTCAGTAAGCTTTTTGAGACCATAATCAATAAGGTCATCAAGCACCAAGGAAAGAACAACCTTTTCAGCAATGAACAGTATGGATTTCAGTGGTCTGATCCACTGCCGATAACTACCAGTGAGGTTCTTGATGACAAACACACCCCAAGGACCATAGCACTAGTTACTTCAAAGGCCTTTAATAAGATGTGGCATAAAGGTTTACTATACAAATTCTCCAGTTATGGAATCACTGGAAGGGTCTTCTCAATCATAAAATCCTTCCTAACAGGTAGGTCTCTGAAGGTAGTTATTAATGGCTTGTATTCTGGTGCCTTTGTGGTCAACACAGGCATTCCACAGGAGTCACTCCTTGGACCAACCCTCTTTTTGATCTATATAAATGATCTGCCTATAAATATACTCAGATCATTTGTAAACATTTATGCTGACAATAATATATACAGGTGCACCTCTAAAACCCTTGATGGCCTGAGATTGGCAACTATCCAATAGGGCTGGTTACATTCAATGCCTCAATGACCAAGCTAGTTATGTCCCATCATCACTGATCTGACCTCAAAATACCACCAATCAAGAGGAACAGAGTTCCCCTTGAAGAAGTACCGTGCCTTGAAAGACTGTTGGGCCTCAAACTTATATCTGATCTGTTGCTAAGGATGCAGGTAAAATGGCCAGCTCCCTGTACTGCTCCAGCAAGTACCAGACTCCTTCTGCTATCTTCTACTTTTACAAGAGCCAGATCAGGCTAAAAATAGAGTACTGTTGTCACATCTGGGCAGGATCTGCTAAGACCTCACTCTCCAGCCTTGATAGACTTCAAACGTGTCTCTGAGCCCTTGTGGGTGATGAATTATTCTCCAACCTTCAATCCCTCTCCCACAATCAGGATGTGGCAAACCTCTTGCTGCTCTACCACTACTTCCATGGAAAGTGCTTGGACAAAGTACATTCACTGGTCCTGCCAAGGGAAACCTTCACTGCAAGAACATGCCATGCCACTTACATAATATCAAACCACCCATATTCCCTCTGTATTCCATTGGTGAAGTACCACTCAAGCAGCTTCTTCCTGCAAACCACTACCTTGTGAAATTGACTCCAAACAAGGTGTCTCCCTGATCACTACAATCTTAACCTATTCATGGCTAGGGTTAATCATTATCTCTCTCACCTATACACACAAATGGACTGCTAAAATAACCCTTTACCTTGAGTGGTCTGTGGGCCTTCTAATGGGTGACTCTCACTGGAAAAAAAAAAATTGTTTTTAGATTTGCCTTTCAATGAAAAATATGCATTCTGAACTATGTTAAAATTTTACTTAGCATCTGTGATACATGTATTTTAAGTATATATAACAAAAAAATTTTTTATTATTTCATGACAGATATAAGAGCAAAAATTTACATCTTGCAAAGGAAAGACTAACCTTTTAAGATACAATTAAATAGCTACAAAAAGAAGAATTATCCCTTGAATCGGTAAAACACACAATAGCTACTACCTGAATGACAGAAACTTGATATTATAAATAGATAAAAATAATTACAACATCGACAGTTGGAAATATGGGAAATAGTTACTTTAATCTTTACTCCATTTAAACATAAAAAAAAAACTTATGAACTTTATTTAAAATACATTAAAAAATTAATTTTTATAGCAGGTTGCTTGCATCAGTCAGTATGTGTCAAAGGTCAATTTGAGAGGATGAAGTGTAAGAACCTCTCTAGGAAATAAACCTATTTTCAACACAAATTACATTATCAACATACATACCATATTAATACATGCCCAAATGTTATTTTCTATCCAATAACAGACAATATTACAAACATGCCATAATGATTCTAAAATACAACACACACTGTTTTAATCAAAGTGTCTATTTGTTACAAATTAACATCACCATGTATAATATTTGACCAGTCAGAGAAAAATAAAATCCTATTTTTATCAAGCTAACTTTCGGGAAAAATTTTCCTATAAAAACCTACATATTTTGACTTTCAAAAAGTAGAGATGTTGCTGTCTTCAAGTTGAACACATGCTTTTTTCCTTTCTACCAGCATGTACTGAAAGAACCATGTGTCAGCAACTTCAAATGAATCATCTCCAGCAATAATATAGACAATCAATGAATCTTCACAAATGATAAAATTCTTTTTTCAACTGCAGCTTTTTTTCTGTTGATCAACTATTTAAAAGTCTTTTCTAGATCAGTTTTTCTGTGAAACAACTAGAGACTATTTTTAATACTTTTTAACTCTTTTTACTTCATGTACATGTTTGTAAATACAAATGATTTATTTAACTGGCATACCCATGTTTTCTCTTTTTTTATTGTTTGGAGTTCAGACATTCACATTTTTAATATAACAAAACATGGACCACTGAATTTCTTACACCTCCAAAGATTCACTAAAAAAATGAGCATACATAAAAAAAAAAAAAATGCCCCAAACTTAATTTTATCATCAAAATATTTGTTATTATTAAGAGGAAATACCAGAAGATTTTTTTTCTATATAAAAGCAATATTTTTAAATCCTTTTTAGAACCCTCGAAATTTTTGTTAATATTAGTATGGAAAATTTCAACTATTGATAATTCTATCAACATCTCCATGTTAGAAAATTTTTTCTGCAATATTTGTCTTAATTAATATTAATTAAATTTGAAATCAATCTTCCTCAAATAAAGTTTCAGAAAAGTATATTTTATTTTTGAAAGAGTTTTTAATTTTTAAGTTTTTTTTTTTATTTATGTTGTGTTGACAGATTTGTCACTATCGCCGATTTTAGTGATTTAAAAAAATTCCGATAAATTTAAATTTGGCTTGAAATATAGCAAAGTATTTTGTTTATTGGAAATATTAAATTTAATCTATCAACTTCAAATTAAAGCTAAATTAAAACCTTAAAAAAAGAATTTTCATTTTTGTAATGCATTTTAAACCTTAGCTACCATTTTTGTTTTGAAGGTACCTAGAAGTAATGTTTGTATTTTCAGCTGATGGAAATTCACACTGACAGCTCTCAATTGAATGGCTTCACTTTCTAAAAAGAAAAAAATGGTGGCCTGTAACAAAAAAAAAAAAAAAAAAAAAAAAAAGAAAAAAAGAATATTTTAATAATATTTATTAAATAACTAATTATTTTTCTCTAAATGTTTTCATTGTTGATCAACAAGTTTTTTTAAACAGAACAATTACGACTTTTAAAATGTTAAATTCTGGAGCACATTCTTTCATATGACAGGTTCATATAAAGAATGCAAGATAACTTGTAGTTGCATATAGGTATGGTGTCCCTGCTTAAGTGCATTTGTTTCTCCAGCTGACTGCTGACTGAACTTTGTCACACACATAAAGGGCACATTTTTAATATACAAGTTTTAATTTCTAGTTCTTTTTCTTTATTTTCTATTGTGTACACATTAATGTAGTTTCTTTTGTTAATGCATGCATTTACTTCTTGTTTGTTTAAAATACATGTTTTCAACTTATTTTTTACCTGGACTCATGAGTCTGCCAAATATTGTTTGCAGGACAAAATGTTCCAGGAGCCATTAAATATTTACTAATTAATGTCTACACACCTAACTCAACATAAAGAGATTGTTGTAGATGTGCAAATGATATGAGGCCTTGTTCTTGGTTTTGTTATTTTTACCTGGGATTACATCATCCATCCACAGCATGCTAAATTAATATTAGTGTGCAATAGTACATGAAATAAAATATGAAGTTTTTGGTGTGCATGCAACAAGATATAAAATATTTATTAAAATGACTGTATTTTTGTTTAAACATACATTTGCTTAGATAATTAATTCATATTATTTACAGAACATACATATATTGATTGGTAAGTATTAATAAAAAATAAAATAAAATAAATGGTTTTAGGCTTATCTGTATGAAGAGACGTCTTTATAGTTCTTTCAGATGACTTCTCCAGACACCATGACTCGGGACTCAGGATTGGACATTACATTGGGGATCTAGAGACAGCAATGCAGGACAGAGCAGTGTGGAAAGAGATTGTTAATGGAGTTCTGACCAACCACAGGGAGGTTGAATGATAATGATGATTACATCTTTCATGTGAGCTCATTTAAGAAAACACGTCTTTCTGTGCCAACAGTTGGCAACCAGAGAGAGAGAGAGAGAGAGAGAGACCAAAACTGCCTTTCTAGTACATTATGGGGATACTACTTCCCTTCCTTTCTAACAAGGCATGATACGCAACTCATGCGTTATCTATAAGAATTTCGATTTAATTCTTGCTACAAAAAACCCAAATACATTTACAACAGACTACTTTTGGTCTCAACTTCCAGTAATAAATATGAATTTATATTGAATATGTTACCATAGCATTGATAGAATAATGTATTGGGGGGGGAGATGTTGGACAAATTTTTGCTGCAAACAGAGCTGGCCCATACACTCGTGAGGCATCCAACAGAAATAGATGACTTTACAGATCACTAAATTTGACATTTTTTCTCCTGTAACTTTATTACTGGCCTCTATCACATTAACAGCCGTGTACGTAATTAATATTTTTAAAAAATAAAATTTAGTTTCTACTAGAAATTTTCTCTCTAGTTTTAACTTTTAAAGAATATTTTTCTAATATCTTTCTTTTAAAAGGATCAAGTTTTTTTAAAAGCAAAAACCACTTTTCAAAAGATCTAGAAAGATTTCTAGACTTAAAAAAAAAGATCAAATTATTATCGATATTATAAAAAACAATTATAAAGAAAATAATGAAAAAATATGAACTTTTTTTTCTTACAAATAAATAAATGGCATGGTATTAAAAAAAAAAACTGAAAAGAAAAAGTTAAAAATCTGCTATATAGTTATTTTTTTTAAATCCCAGTCTAAACCATTCTCATTTATTTTTCAGAAAATCTTTTTCTTATGGGTTCGGATATTTACATTTCATTATTTTCAAGATAAGGACCTCCACAAAAAAGAAAAAAAGAAAAAGAAAAGAAAAATAGCAATACCTAATAAAAATGAATTATTAAAAATGAAAAATCTTTCTTGAAGCTTTTATTTTAGTTTTACTTTCCTTAATTTGATTAGTTCAGCTTTAAATGGGTGGTTACAAGCGAGAGGGGAGATGGGATGTGTATTACCACATTCATTAACAGAATTTTTTCCATTCTTTCAGCATTCGATTAGTTAATCATTATAGTAGAAAAAAAATGACCATACATGTTTTATATTGCATTTTATTTGCGTATCAGATTTTCCGCGAGGGAAAGTGGAAAAATAGAGGTTTAAGTACTTCCACAGAAACGCACTTAATGGTTGAAAAAAAATTGAATTTTTTAAAAATGAAAAATCTTTCTTGAAGGTTTTATTTTAGTTTTAATTTCAGACTGAAGAAATTAATAATTCGAAATTAGATTTTTTTTTAAAAATGATCAAGTTTAATAATAATTCGAGGTCGAATATTTTTTGCTCTTGTTTTTCGACATGTCCAAACTCGCTTTAAAAAATCTTTCTATTGCAAATAAAAGAATTTAACAAAAACAAGACTTCAATAATATGAGGAAATAAAATTCACGCTAATATTCTTTAGTTCTCTCCATATTTCACAATATTTCTTTTTTTTTAAATATGGACAAGAAAATCACACCAGAATTTTTTTCATTTTTTTTTCTGGTGTTACTCATGCTGTTAAAGAAAAAAAAAAAAAAAAAAAAAAAAATGGAGTATTTTACTTTTAAAGTAGGTAAAAAAAAAGTAAATAAATGTGTACTAAAAACAATTCAATTTTCAAAACAACTCCAAAGTGAAATAACAAATACAATTTTTATTTCTTTAAAATGATAAAAGAAGAAAAAAGGAAGTAGACAAGGATATGGTCGGAAAGAACGATTTGTTTTTGTTTTGTTTTTTATCAAACAAATTATAAAATTGTTTGTATTCTTCCACTTTTCAGACGAGAGAATGCAACGAAAAAAACAAAATCAGGTGATTTTTTGCACTCAAATGATTTTGTTGGGATATCGCTGTCAACCTAACCAGTGTTTGTATTGTTCGTTCAATTCATATATAAATAAATATGTCGAAACTGAAACGAATAACACAAAGAATGAGTGGAGAAGGGGGGGGGCGATGAGGAAATATTTCGCTTGATAATGTAAGACAAGACGAAATAAGCGAGGTTAGACAAGATTTGGTAACTCACTGAGGAAGTTTCTTTTTCTGCGGTCGACGTACATGAGGCCACAACAAGCAATTTATTCCGTTTGTGTCAATCTCCTGTGTGTGTGTGCTTCCTGTAAATTATATTCTTATATCGGCCGTAAACAGGTTGCAAATGAAAGCCTAAATTTAAATACGTCGTGTTCCCATTTGTTGAAGAAGGTCATGTGGTGTTCTTACTGTTACGTCCGCGTTAGGCGACACCAAGTCTACTTTTTTTTACGTGTTTATTTTTAGACTTGATGAAATTATAGTTGTAATGTTGTAGAGGGAACTTGAAAATATATTTTTATTTATTTTTGTGCGTTTTCAGCGTCCCAACATTTTAAAATGCTTAGATTTCTTGACATTTATGAAGCAAAGCCATTTAAAATTAAATGCATAACGTTTCAGTGAGATTTCATCTGCTAGGATTTTTGTTGACAAGTTGCTTTCTAGGCATACCTTGACCTGTAAGAAAGTCACAGAAAAAAAAAATCAGTCTTGGCTTGGAAAAAAAAGCCACAATTAATTTATAACGACCAGTAATAATTTCTGCCAGGTAATTCATGAGTTTATGGGTCTGCTTTGTTTGCAACAGAAATTCATAGTAAATCGAACCAATCTCTCAGAAAGTTTTTTTTTTTTTTAACAATACTATGGTCACATATTTAATTTCAAATTTCATAGTTACGGAGTCTTAGTATCACATACCCAACTTTATGTGAAGAAAGTCTTAAATGTTACATTAAAATTTGAATTAAAATTTCACTGCATTTTCAAATTATTGGTCTGGGATTTTGTCCACTTTTTGGATAAAAAGGCTAGGATTTTGTTTGTCCACACAGTTTTTGTCCGCTGTGTAGGTTTTTTTTTTTTTTCATATGTCTTTTTTTACCCGGATTCATAAATTCTGCCACGTTTTCATGAATCATGTCTTTTCAGGACATAAGTTACACTTTTTTTGTAGCTTTTTGCAATATTTTTCTTTTACAGCTCTTCTTTGTATTGCATAAGCTCAACCTTCTCAAGTTGGATATTGCTGTTTTCCTCTGTATTTTTTTCTGTGTTTTCCTTTTGATATATCCTGTGAGTGTTAAATTTTCCAAAGTTTCCTTCCCCAGTGCATTTCTTTAAAACTTCTTGTTGATTGTCAAAAACATTTTCTTTGTATTCCCTATTTTCTTTAAAATTTTCTCACTTGTTACGTGCTGTCTTTTCCCTCCAGCTTTCTGTTAAATTGATAAAACTTTTATAACTAAAACATTATTTAGTTAATTAGTAAAACTTGTATAAAACATTATCTCCCCAAAATTCTTGCTATCTAAAAACATTTTCTGGCTTTAAATAACTTGCAAAAGGTTGATAAGCCATTGAAAATGAATCAATCCAATCATTTGTCACTCGATTTACTACCTATGGTAAGAAAAAATACAGATCAGTTATTATACAAACCATTTTAAATAAAAATGTATATGCAAAAGTCAAGTTTGGGGATATAAAAATATCTGAATCCTCAAATTTTGTAGTTAATTGATGGTTAGCTCTTAAAAATGTCTTATAATGCAAGAGCCTCTATGCAGTAACCTTTCTAGGGTGTTATAAAGTGGGTATAAATTTGCATATATTACTGATGTATAATTACTCAGGAAGCACAGTGGAGTAATGGATAGCAGCTTGGATTGAAGAATCGGAGAGCCGAGTTCGAATTCCATTACATTCATTTATGAAATTTGGGAAAGGTATGGATCCTCTTCTTCTCTCCCCAGATATGGGTAAATAGCAGAACAGACCAGATTCTATAGCCTTGGATGACAACTGGTCTACTGCAGAAAGAAATGGCAACCTACTGCGGGGAAAAATCTGCCTTATCAGTTATGTACTGAAAGATACATGATCTCCTAAACGTGTATCACACATGGCACATAACTGACTGATACTGAATGACCCCTTTAATTATCTTTATGCCCTTGTATTTATGGTTTTCACAGTTTTATTCATTAACTGTATATATACCTATTTAATTCTGATGTCCCTCGTGGCACTTCTTTGACTCCTTTTTGTTCAACATTATACACTTAATCTTCTTATATTATGGCTAAAGAGAAGATAACAACAGTTGTCAAGGCCACCTCCTTGGATCTCCATCAAATAGAGCAAAACTGGAAGTTCATTTGCAAAAGCAAATGAAGTTTCTAGAAATTGTTGCTAGAACAAATTCTACCAGGCATGCAGCTGGTCTTAGAAGAGTCTAAGTAGATCATTCTCTTGGAACTTACCATTCCCTGTGAGGACTTCACCGAGAAGGCAAATGTGAGGATGAAAGCAAAATATACTTGTGGAAGAATTCAAAAGAAGAGAAATGCAGGAATGTGAAGGTCCTGTCATAAGCAAAGCATCAGAGGACCCAGCAGATGAAGTGCAACAAGAGCTTTCAAAATTGTCTTTTCTAGGTTCATGAAAGTTGTTGTTAATGGCAGACTTCTGAAGTCCATACGATCAATGCAGGCATTCTCTAAAGCTCTCTTTTTCATACTATTCTCTTTCTGCTTTATATTAATGATATGCCTAATAATATATTCAGATCATTATTAAATATCTATGCAGATAATACAACAATGTATGGGGGCACCTCTAAAAATCTAAATGACTAGAGGCTGGCAGCTGATATCTCCTCAAACATTGATTGTACAGCACAATTAGAACTGGCGTGCAACATTCAATACCTCCAAAACCAAGCTGGTAACAATTCATCATCATGATGCAGACACTGAATTTTTGCTTATCTTGATGAATGATGAATTAGGTCTCAAGTTCACATCAGACCTCAAGTGGAACCCATATGTACAATCCATTGCTAAAGACACTGGAAAAGATTCCTGGTTCTTTGAACCATACCAAAATATATTTGTGTAACTATCACCCTCTCTACTCATACATGCACATTCTCTTCCATCTCTGTCTCTCCTCTTCTTTCTGTCATCAGCCCTGCTAGCTTTGTTAAGTCATACCAACCTCACAGGTCATCCAGTTTTTTTTCCCCTCCTCAATTTGGGCCATTGTGTCATCCCAATACAATTAATTCAGGTTTCCGAAAAGCTTACGATATTAGGGATTGACAGTGAAGTCTAGTGTGAAACTATCTATGTATATTGTGTACTGTAGATAAAAATGAATAATTCTCAACTTACAGCCATGCTAACTTTTGTCTCTTTGCATCCAATGGCAACTTCGGAAGGCTGGAATAAGAACTTCTTCAATAAAATGCACAACATTGTTGCTAACTATAACAACAGATTTATTAAATATAAAGAAAAACTGGTTGAATAAAATGTCTCTATTAACTACTGCAAAATCAAGTTCTCTACTACCAGATGGTGTTTTAAACAATCTATTTGTAAACGCTAAAGTAATAAAAAGCCCATTGATTCTCACTCAATTCGTCAAAGTAATACCCAGCCAGTTGAATCTCACTCAATTTTTCTGTTCTGCATGTGCCTGTATTTTAGCTCTGACCACAAGAATTGCAGGTGTGCTCATTAGCGACAACTGTCTTATGAGCAATCCTGGGCATCTACAAGCAAACTTCCTCTAGGGCCTGTCTCCATGTGTATCTTTGGGTCTGGTGAGCTGTCGTTTATATGAATGACTCTTCACCTGCCAAATTTGACATTGATACATCTAATTTCTCAACCCCAACTATCTTCATCTTAGGAGATCTTGTTAATAACCATAAGGTACTCTGTTTCAAATCGTCCTAGATATCTTTGTGTTTCAGGGTCAACACAACACAACATCAACAGCATTTTCAGCATCAATACAAACAAATCCCAAACCTGGGAACTAACAAAAAACAGATGTTACTTTTATTTAAAAGGATTTGGATCATTATTTTCTGTAAGAACTGTTTTGGACAGATAGCATAATGTAAACAAACCCCCAAATTTCTCAGGACCAAAGAGATTTGAAGAACCCAACTTATCAGTGGGAAGTGGATAGGGTAGGGAACCTTGGTTTTCTTCAATTTTACAGAATTTTAATTCTGGTTTTCATTCTCCTTGGAACTGTTTTTAAATTAATTTTATTATTTTAAAACATTTTTTAACCTGTTCCTTTTTTCATTTTTTTTCTCAACCATTCAACCTATTCTCCTGAGAATTTTAATATTTACTACACTACCCATGACCAGTTGGGTCACTGTCAGTTCAGGTTATAAAACATTGAAGTTGGTTTCAACATTAAAAAATTATCTGGTTGAAGAAAGTTGAATTAAAAATATTAACTGTATAAACAGCTCGTATTTTTAAATCTCATTCACTTAAAATATTTTTTAAATCAGATTAATTTAAAAATATTTTCTTAATATGCCAAAAAATATTTTAAAATCATATTCACTTGAAAATATTTTTTAAATATGGCAAAAAACATTTTTTAAATATTTAAAATATTTTTTGTTTAAAGTAAGTACCTCCACAAACTGGATATACATAATGAATTTTTAAAATGTAAAAGCTTTCAATTTAGCTTTAAATGAAAGCTAAATGATTAAATTTACCCAGTAAGCAAAATACCTTTTCAGACAGAAATTATATTGATTGGAATAGACTTGCATTTTTTTCAATAAAATCAATAACACAGCCATTTTTAGACATTTGTAAACAAAAGTTACTTCATGGTTTTAAAAATCTTGCAAAAATAAAATATATACTTCTAGAACGTTATTTGTGGAAAATTAGCAAATTTACGGTTAATCTGATTTGAAGCAAATATTTCTTACTTATAGCATAAAATGTTGTATACAAACATTTCCTAAATACAGGTTTATTTTTTCTGATATGTAACTCTATTTATTGATGGCAGATTGACTACCAAATATGTTCATAGTTAATTATGGTGTAGCAGATGATAAATTTCATTAGGGTTTTGTTTTGTTTTTCCATAAGTGGGGGACAATCCTTAAAACACATGACTTTTTAAGAATTGATTTATCGGTTTGTACATCCATACTTCAGAAATTCTGCATCTGTATACATATATAAAAACAAATTGAAATTCTTTTAAAATTAGTTGGGGTCTTCAGATTGTAATAACCTTTAAAATATATGATCAGTAAAGTTTTACTTAATAACAATATTTCCTAAGAATTATTTCATCAAAATTGAACTTTAAAAGATTCAAAAACTTTATAAATTAATAAATTAAAAAATTGGAAAAAATTATAAAATATGAAAACAAATTTTTAAAAAATTCGTTTTTCATCAAAATATTTTCATCTTCAGAAAATATTGTCTTTAATATATATTATTCTTCAAAGCAATTAAAAGCTTTTCTAATTAAATAATATCTTATTTTTATTATGTTTTTTATTCTTTAATTCAGAACAGATTTTTGGTAAGATCGGGTCCAATTTTGCAAAAAAAATTTTCTAAAAAAAATTTTCCAAAATAATTTTATTTCTTGTGAATAAGTCCTGAAAATTTAATTAAAATCTGATAATTATTTGATTTTTGTCACCGCAAAAAAGGAGGGAAAAATTTGCTATGCAAGTAAGTACAAACACTGATGCAAGAAAAACAAGTTTTTTAATCAAAATTTCAAATGTTCTAAAAAGGAGTAAAAAATGAATTAAATAATAAAAAAAAACAAACTCTGATCCTTCCTCTTAATAATAACATAACGATTTTGATGATAAAACTATGTTTTCATTACTTTTGGAGCATATTTTCATTACAGTATGCTGATTTCTTAGTGATCTTGATGAGGTACCTAATTTAAAGAAAACTGAAATAAATAAGCATGCAAGAGGGAGAGGTGGCAAGAGGGAGAGATGGAAAGAGGGAGAGATGGAAAGAGGGAGAGGTGGAAAGAGGGAGAGGTGGCAAGAGGGAGAGGTGGAAAGAGGGAGAGGTGGCAAGAAACAAGCACGAATCACAGACTTTTAGTATTATATAGATTATTATCCATAGTCCCTCCAAATCACCATTTTGTAATTTCATGTAATTAAACAGGGCCAGTGCCATGTTACATTTAACTCTTCCTGCCATGCTCTATCTTCACAAGACACAGATTAAACTAAAAATAGACTACTGAGCTGGATTGGCCTGGTCCTCACTTTCCTGACTTGATAAAGTGTCTACACTGCCTTGTGAGTGATTGATTATTTTCTACTCTACAGCCCTTTCCCACAAAAGAAATGTTGCAAACCACTTGCTACTCTATGGCATGCATTCTGTAGCACTATGCTCCTTAGTTCTACCAGTTCAGACTAAAACACACCATGTCATGTGCAGTGGGATGAATCATCCCTCTTCCCTTCATATTCCACGAGTAAGAAGGTAGTTCCATTCAGACAGTTTCTTCCCAAGATTTGCATCTTTGTCAAAGAGCCTCTTGAGATAATGCTTTCCCAATCACTATACTCTTAAATCCTTCAAGTTCAACCATTATCTTTTCTGCCTATATGCATAATTTGCATTTGTATTGGGTGAACATTAAAAAAAAACAAATAGGTCAGGAGAACAGAGCCTTGGGTGAAATGATGCCAATTACATGCAAATTGTACATTAATCAACCATAGTTGAAGGTGTTTTATTGTTGAAAAGCATACAATATGAAGTAACCCTGAGAAAAATCAGCAGTAATTTGTCGGCATTGCAGTCTTTGAAGACCACTGACTGTTCCATGCTCAAGACACTCATATAGTGTCTCATGTAGCAAAGTCCAACATGTGAGAAGCAAACACAACCACAGATGTTGCATGTACAGGAATCTAAGTGATAAATCAACATACATTCAAATAAACACCAGTTCTCGTTCAATCACCAACTTAAGCAGCATCAAATCTGGTCAGTTAGATGGAGTAGCACTTGGGAACATGGCGTACTGTAAGCAACCTCCTTCAATCTGAAATATTTTGGCTTCACAATAAACCACAAAGAATAAGCTGTTAAAAATCAATCAGTCAATCAATCTGTGAAAAGCCAAGGTGATCTCATGTGTCAAGAGACCACTGCTGCAACTGAGGGTGGTACTGAGCAATGTTTACCCAGGTAGCAGGGTTTTCCTCCTGATTGACAGAGAATGTCCTTTAGAATTCTTCCATTGTCTATCCTCTGGACATGTTTCAATCAGCAGAGATGTCACTGCCTCAGAATAGATTGATTTTCTACAGCTTATCAACCCTTCACAGGTTATTTAAAGCCAAAAAGTATTTCTAGATTGTAACAAATAACAATCTTTACAAAATTAAACCCATTCTAGAATGGCATCATGGTCTCACACTTTCTTGGAAGGAAATTGTCCTATCAACAATCAAAATAGGTCTCACTTATATCACTCACTCATTTCTCCTAAAAAATTAACATCTCCCTGAATGAACATCCTGTAAGGAGGCATATACCAAAAAACATATTATAACCGACAGAGCATTGGACCTCTATGACATAACTAGTTTAGAGACTCTTTTGAAGTAGATAAAAATAGAGACTATATTAGCCTATTTGAAGGCACATATGTTCTATATAAAAAAATTATGGCACTAAACTACATTCCATTGAGTGACTGACTTTCTACAGCTTATCAACTGTTGAAGATTATTTAAAGCCAGAAAATATTTTTTGACTGTAAGAATTTTTTTTTTCAGATAATAATGGTTTAGTGACATAAGAATTAATCTTTAACCCATAGCTAGAGAGATAAGAGGTAGAATCTTATATTTTCCAATGGTATTTGCAAATAAGTGAATCCAATGGGAATTGGAACTTGGCTCTCCGATTAACAATTCTGATCTGTTAACCATTATACCAGCTGTGCATCCAAGCTTACAGTACCTGGTATTCTCAAGTGGTCACCCATCTAGATACTGACCAGGCTCAATGTTGCTTAACTTCAATAATTGTACAGGAAGGCTGTTGCAATGTGATATGGTCATAATACAAACAACTTTTTAATAACTTTGACTCTTAAAATGCCAAGAAATCTAAGGATTTTAAACACAAGGAACCAAGTCACACGTAAGACTTGATAATTTCTTTCATCTTCTTAATTCTTTATTCATGCCATTCATTTGAATTTTTTTACATATGAACTGAACTGACTTGCTTCATCTATGGCTATTACACAGTTGAAATCTTTTTTCTTATATTTTCTTTAATGATGCATTTTAAACCTATATAAAGTACTTATTCATTGTATTTTTTAAACTGTCACACTCAAATCACATTTGTCTCAGCTGTTGTTTTCATACACTTTCTCAAAAATATTAAAAAGTGTTCAGTTTTCCTTTCATGGCTGGCAATGTTTCCTCCAATTCTTGGAATTTGAAGATTAAACTGAAAATATATTTGCATTTTCTTTAACCAAAAAAAAAAACTGGATACATTTTACAAAAAATAAAATATGAACTGGATAGATGTTTTAGCTTCACTTTGGCGAAGGGTCCGTAAAAAATGAAATGTAATTAGGTAATTTTCAAAATGTAATCAGTTTCCATTCTTTTTTAAAAGCTTATTTGTTTACTAATTCAAGGGAATTGGTTCTATTTTCTTAAATGGATGCATTTTATAGTTCAACTTTTGATGTAGCTTGTGTGAGGATGATGACAATTGTAAATTGATGTTTCAGTGGCATATGACTATAAGCCCTCAGAATAAAATACATACTGTGAAGTTATGTTCTTTCAAGCACTGAGGTGTGTATGATATTGTCTCTCAGTATATGTTGTAGGCAATACATGTGAATGCTTGATGTGTGCAGGAGTGGTCCACACCTTAGAGCATACTTATTATATAGATTTTTTATACTTATGAATTCAATTGACTTTTCAAAAATCATATGCAATAATAATAAGTTTTAAAGTATTTCTCTTCATCATGTTACAAATTCTACATGATCTCAAATATAGTGATTTACTAAGCATAGCTTAGATGTAGCACAAAGCCAAAAGTATGGAGCAACCAGACATAAACTTACTAGACATTACATCACATTGAGGTGATCAAATAATTTTCTAAGTGTAGCTTATATGTAGAACAAGGCTGAAAGTGTGAAGCACCCAGTGAGGATTGAACTCACTACTCAGTTGTAATTGATCAAACAAAATAAGTTTTCTAACCATTACACCATGGCAAAGTGCCTACACAGTCTTAAATATGAGCTGGTAATTATTCTGGAATTTCTTTTGTTGTTATGGTGTAAATAGTTAACTACATCTAGCAGCAAGGCCTCTGCTCAGGAGGTTTTTTTTTTTATGAGCATGGAATCACCTCTTAAATGCTGTTGTTCCCAGATCTACCCTAATCCAGGGTGGTGGCATCTGTTAGGGTCCTAACAAATAGTTAATCCACAAACTGATGTCAAAAGACTGTGAAAGTAAAAATACAAGCAATACATTTTCATAGTAAAAAAAATTACCAACAATACATTATTGACAAAAACTTTTACCAGCAATGCTTTTTTTAAAAAAATACAGCAATACATTTTTGTTTAAAGAAATTACTAATGCTCCCAAGAAAATTAAATTTTAGTATTAAATGATCTGTAAAGAGTTGATATGCTGCTAAACAAATAAACAAATGGTGTAAATAGATGTTTATGAAATCATTTATATTTGAATTTTCAATAGACATTTTGCTATAGATCATTATCTATGTAGAAGATTGTAGGTTTACAGATTTGTATGGAATGAAGTTGATATTGAGAACTTTCAAAGAAATTGAATCACAAAAAATTTTTCAGCAATAAATTTCAACACATGTAGATATTTTTATGTATAATAAATAATATGATTTAGAAAAGAAAAAATATACTAGCGCACACTTTTTTTATTTATTATTTCACCCCAAGCAAAATAATGCCACCAAAATGCAAGGGATTAGTGGGAATGAAAGAGAACAAAAAGAATTTAGAAGAAACTGGAAACCCAATCCTAAACAGGAAACAAGTGATAAACTGCTATTCCTGTTCAATAGCTGGGGAAGGAGGGTGAACTGGCCGATAGACAAACCTTTGTATTCCTGAATATACATTTATAGGGTATATCTGTGGGAGACACACTGTGTAGTCAGGTGACTCAGTTCTTGAAGGGAAAACTGGACAAGTCTTCTACCGACTACATTCTAGAATGAATAGAGGAAGTAAAAGAGCTATGTCTGTTCTTTCATAGTACTCATGGATTAACCCCAGATAGTCTGCCAAGACTGCAGACTATCTGGGGTTAATCTTCACATCACTAAGTCTTAACATGTAATTATGCAAAGTTTGTTTCTTTTTCATAAATAAATTTGATTGTACATTCACTGTTGCTTAGTTTATTTACAAGATCAAGTAATATTGTTTTGTAGGGGTACATTAATAAATAATCATCAGTTTATATAAATATATTTTAGAAATAATCAGTTTCTAGAAGCTAAAACTCTACTAAGAGGTGAACCTCACTGAATTTTTGTTTACAAAAATCATTGTCCCCAGTGAAATAACATTGGTTTAGAATGAGTCATCAAACTTTTATAATTTTATCTATTGGTAGGAAGAGGGTAATTTTTAATTGTATGAGAGGGATCTGAACACTTGCCAACAGGTAGACTATAGTGATTTGGTATCTGAACAAGCTATGAATTTACTAGAAATTATGTGATATTTATGAACCATAGTCATTTAACCATCATATTACAATGTCATTTATTTTCTATGGCTTATCAACGCTTTACAGGTTATTTAAAGCCAGAAAATATTTTTAGATTTTAAGAATATTTTTTTAGATAATGTTTTAGTGATACAGGTCTTACTAATTAACCCATATCTGGTGGGGGTTAAGAGGTGTATTTATACTTAATCAGAATTTGATAAACAAGAAATTATAATGTGGATATAAAGAAGGGGATCAATTCTATATTACAGTCACTTTGTGGCCATGGTAGTTTCTATACAATTATATTC